TGTGTGTGTGTGTGTGTGTGTGTGTGTGTGTGTGTGTGTGTGTGTGATTCTAAGGGTTAACTCAGGGCCTCATACTTGGTTGAAAGATAACACTGAGTTACACCTCTAGTCCTTTTTGCATTGGTTATTTTCGAGGTAGGTATTGTTTTATGCTGTCTGGTCTAGGCTATGATAGTTTGTTTTTCTGTTTGTTTGTTTTTTTTGTCAGTCATGGGGCTTGAACTCTGGGCCTGGGCACTGTCCCTAAGATCTTCATCTCAAGGCGAGTGTTCTACTGCTTGAGCCACAACGCCACTTCTTGTTTTCTGGTGGTGTATTGGAGAGTCTCATAGACTTGCCTGCCCAGGCTGGCTTTGAACTGTGATCATCCTCAGATCTCAGCCTCCTGAGTAGCGAGGATTACAGGTGTGAGCCACCGGTGCCCAGCTTGGGCTGTGATAGTTCTAATCTATTTGTGCTGTCCTATGTTGCTAGGGAAGACAGTTGTGCAACTGGCATTGTGTCATTGCTGCCCCCCTGGCCCTCCTCCCCACTACCCCTGCAGCTAGGATTATAGGCACCTTTGCACTTAACCATTAGTCTAGATGGAATTGTAGGTTGGCCTCAACCACGTTCCCCTGAGTTCCATCTCCCAAGTAGCTAGGATTACAGGCTTGAGCCACTTGTCCAGCTTTAAAACATTTTTGTTTTGTTTGGTTTTTTTTTTTTTTTTTGGTTGTGGGGCCTGAACTCTGGGCCTGGGCACTGTCCCTCAGCTCTTCAGCTCAAGGCTAACACTCTACCATTTGAGCCACAGTGCCACTTCCGGCTTTTCTATTTTTGCTTATGTGGTGCTGAGGAATCGAACCCAGGGCCTCAGGCATGCAAGGCAAGCGCTCTACCACTGAGCCACCTTCCCAGCCCAGCTTTAAAACATTTTTTAGCATGTATTCTATAAAGAGATTTCATCATGGCAATTCACACATGCAGATATAGTTCAGGCAGATTAACCTCATCTAGTGCTCTCTTTCCCTGTCTCTTATTCTCTTACTCAGTTACTTTCAGTGAGATTTTTTGTTCTAGGAAGATTTTTTTTAAAGTTTTATGAAAACCACTGATTGAGTTAATATACTACAAATGAAATGTTTTGTAGGGCTTCTGTTTGGCATGAAAACAAAACTCAGAGCTTCAAAATGCCTCTGTGTCCTTAGGGACTGTGAGTGATGATTTCATTACTCATGGAAGTGAAAATGAAGTGCCGTGTAAATTGGTACAGAGCATGTTATTACCAAGAAATTGTATCTGAGCCCACTCCTGTGTGTTTCTGGCATCGGTGTCCAGGACTAAGCTTGCAAACATGCCCTTGGGAACAAGGTCTGGTGTTTTTGCGGACAGTAAGATGGGTATTGCAACAGTGCAGATGCCTTTGCTGAGCTTGCTAATTGTACTTTTAGAAGATTTGGAAAGGGAGTAAGTTGTTTTATTGAATCAAACAGATTTATTCTGCTTGGGGAAAGTAGTAATATAAATTGTCTTCCATAGTCTGTATTATATCTGTGTGTGCATATGTGTGTGTGTGTGTGTGTGTGTATGTCTGCACCCATGTATTCTATGTACCAGTCTTGGGGATTGAATTTAGAGCCTGGACACTGGCCCTTTTTTGCTTATAGGTAACACTCTACCATTTGAGCCACAGCCCCCCTTCTGGCTTTTTGTTGGTTAGTTGGTGGTTAGTAGACTTTGCTGCCCTTGATGGCTTTGAATCATGATCCTTAGATCTCATCCTCCTGAGTAGCTAGGATGACAGCACCCATCTTTCTGATATTTTCTATTGCAAATATACTTTATGCTTGATATTTTAGCCAGTTAGGCCTATTCTTAGAACATTTATCATTCAGCAAATTGTCTTGCATTAAAGCTAGAAGAACTTTTTGGTGCTAGCTCAAATCAGGATCTTAAGACTGCTAAGCAGGTGCTGGCTCTTGAGCTACATTGCCAGTACAAAACTGATTTTTTTTTCCTTTTTTTTTTTTTTTGTCAGTTCTAGGGCTTGAACTCAAGTCTTGGGTACTGTCCCTGAGCTCTTTTTGCTCAAGGGTGTGAACAACAGTACTACTCCCGGCTTCCTAGAGATTAGTTGGAGATACGAGTCTCATAGACTTTCTTGACACTTTGAACTGTGATCCTTAGATCTTAGCCTCTGGAGTAGGTAGGATTATAGGTGTGAGCCACCAGTGCCTGTATCCTAATTTTTTTAAAATAAGGTCTTGCTGTGTAGGCCAGGCTGATCTCAAATTGTTGGTTCTCCTGCCTCAACCCAAATTCTGAGATGATAGGTGTGAGCTATCATACCAGTTTAAGATTGCAATCATTTTTTTTTTTTTTTTTTTTGGTCGGTCGTGGGGCCTGAACTCTGGGCCTGTTTTTTTTTTTTTTTTTTTGGTCCGGTCGTGGGGCCTGAACTCTGGGCCTGGGTGCTGTCCCTCAGCTCTTCAGCTCAAGGCTAGCGCTCTACCACTTGAGCCACAGCGCCACTTCCGGCTTTTTTCTTTTTGCTCATGTGGTGCTGAGGAATCGAACCCAGGGCCTCAAGCATGCAAGGCAAGCGCTCTACCACTGAGCCACCTTCCCAGCCCAAGATTGCAATCATTTTTTAATTCCTATCCACAGTGTTCTAGTTCTCTTTGCAGGACCCAGAGTTAGTTTTCTTCCTAAGTTTGAAGTCTTAGATCATTGTTACTGGCTAAAGGAGGCTACCTTATTCCATTTGTCATCTTATAGTTGTAAGGTTTATAGTTGTAAGAATGATGGGAGAAGAGTTTTCAGTTTTACAGTTATACCAGAACTTGGATAACAGTTGTTGTTGTTTTTTGTGGGCTTATTGAAGCTTGAACTCAGGAGCTGGGTGCTGTCCCTGAGCTCATTTTGCTCAAGGCTAGCACTCTACCACTTTGAGCCACGGTGTCATTCCCATTTCTGGTAGTTAATTGGAGATAAGAGTCACAGGTTTTCCTGCCCAGGCTGACTTTGAACTGAAATTCTCAGATTTCAACCTCTGAGTAGTGAAGATTAGAGGCGTGAGTCACCAATGCCCAGCTTTATTCTAGTTTTTAGTGGCGAGAAAAAAAGTGTCATTAAAAGCCTTAGTTAAGCTGGGTGCCAGTGGCTCACACCTATAATCCTAGCTACTCAGGAGGCTGAGATCTGAGAATCATGGTTCAAAGCCAGCCCAGGTAGCAAAGTTGGTTAGACTCTTTTCTCCAATTACCTACCAGAAAACTGGAAGTAGTGCTGTGGCTCAAGTGGTAGAGCATTTGCCTTGAGCTGAAGAGCTCACGGTCATCGCCCAGGCCCAGAGTTCAAGCCCCACAACTGACCAAAAAAAAAAAAAAAGCCTCTGTTTGACAGGTTGGTGTTTGATTGCTACCTGTGACATTAAGATGGCTCCTAAATAGTGTGGGAGAGTTCTGGAAAAATTTCCTACCAAGTGTGGGAAGGGATTTTTTTGTTTGCTGAGTCATTTCTGAGTTTCTGACAGTCATATACTGGTGTTGTTGTTTACCTGTAGCTGTGGAGTGGGATGTCATGGCCAGCTCCTCGGACAGTGAAGATGACAGTTTTATGGCTGTGGACCAAGAAGAAACTGTGCTGGAAGGGACAATGGAGCAAGATGAGGACCCACAGCCTGAACTGGAGGTTGAAGAGGCTAGACACAATAGGTCCATGTCTGAGTTACCAGAAGAGGTTTTGGAGTACATCTTGTCCTTCCTCTCACCATATCAGGAGCACAAAACTGCTGCTCTTGTCTGTAAACAATGGTACCGACTTATCAAAGGTATTGTGAAAATAGAAGTTCTTTTAGTTTTTTTTTCCCTCCCTCTCTCTCTCCCTTTTTTTTGTCGGTCATGGGGCTTGTACTCTGGGCTTGGGTGCTGTCCCTTTACTTTCCGGCTCAAGGTGAGCTCTCTACCACTTGAACCACAGCGCCACTTCTGGTTTTCTGGTGGTTACTCGGTGATAAGAGTCTCAGGACTTTCCTGCCCAAGCCTGCTTTGAATCCTGTTCCTCAGAACTCAACCTCCTGAGTAGCTAGGATTACAGGCGTGAGCCACCAGCGCTCGGCTCTTTTAGTTTTTGTTGAGTGATTCATTTTTAAACTCCCTATTTCCTTTTCTTTGCCCTTAAATATACTGCAGTCATGAAAATTTAGTAGGTAACATATTTTTCTTCTCTTCTTACTTTAATGTTTGTTTACTGTTCATTATTTAGTGCCAGTCTTGGGTCTTAAAATCAGGGTCTCTAAGCTTTGTTGCTTAAGTCTACCTCTCTAACCACTTAAGACACAATTCCACTTCTAGCTTTTGTTGGTTAATTGGAATTAAGAGTCTGATAGGCTTTCCTGCCTTGACTAGCTTTGAACTGCAATCCCTAGACTTCATCCTCCTGAGTAGCTAAGATTAATCTAGCAAGAGGCACCTGTGCCTGACAGAAAGCTTACTTTTTAAAAACCTTTTCTTAGGCAGAAATTCATCATCTTAGAATGTTATAAGCTAATTTACCATGTCCTTGCTTAATGCTTGGTTACTATGGTCTAGCGATGGATATTTATTAAGTAGATGTCTTTTGTCAGTTGTGGGGCTTCAACTCTGGGCCTGGGCACTGTCCTTGAGTTCTTCAGCTCAAAGTGAGCACTCTGTATCACTTGAGCCACAGTGCCACTTCCAGTTTTCTGGTGATTAATTGGAGATAAGATTCTCACAGACTTTCCTGCCCAGGCTGGCTTTGAACCATGATTCTCAGATCTCAGCTTCCTGAGTAGCTAGGATTATAGGCATGAGCCACCAGCACCTGGCTTAAGTAGATGTCTTATTATTATATACACTGTTTCATTATATTTGTCACAAAACTTGGAAGTAAAAATGTTGGTTATCTTGATGAATTGTCCCATGATATAACTTAAAGGGGACCAGAGTTATAATGTGAATTAATTTGAGCAAATTACCTAACCTCAGTAAAATGAAGGGATTGTATTTTCCAGTTTTGAAATTCTATGATTCTGATTTGAAAATATAATTCTGAAATTTTGGAATTCTATGACTGAATAAAAATGAAATGAAATTAGACTTCCTCAAAAAAATTTATAAAGTAGTGTAAAGATAGTTCAGATAATTTTATCTACAAGCTACATGTCCAGGCTAAGGCATTTGTTCCTTTTGTCTTTAGGTGTAGCGCACCAGTGTTACCATGGCTTCATGAAAGCTGTCCAGGAGGGGAACATTCAGTGGGAGAGCCGAACCTACCCTTATCCTGGGACCCCCATCACTCAGCGGTTCTCACACAGTAAGTATTTGCCGTGAGAAAAAATCCCTGTTATGCCCAGGTTTCTAGAAATGATTTGGATTAATTAATCTTGTCCTGCTTTTTAATGCAGAGAATATAAAATGGGAATTTATATTAAGTTTATAATCAGAATTATGAAAAAGTAAGCCTAAGCCTCTTGTAAGGGCTTGGATGTAGATCACTGGAAGAACTCTGGCCTAGGTGGGACCCTGCATTCAAGATCAGAAATGACAAAAATAAATAGCTGATGCTTTGTGAATAATTTTTTTTTTGGTCGGTCATGGGGCTTGAACTCTGGGCTTGGGTGCTGTCCCTGCACTCTTCAGCTCAAAGAGAGTGCTCTACCGCTTGAGCCACAGCACCACTTCCAGTTTTCTAGTGGTTTATTGGAGATAAGAGTCTCACAGACTTTCCTGCCCAGGTTGGCTTTGAACCATGATCTTCAGATCTCAGCCTTCTGAGTAGCTAGGATTTTAGGCATGAGCCACCACTGCCCAGCTTTGTGAATAATTTGATGTTTGGCTTTCTTTGCATTCCAGAGAGTTCAAGGTGTTCTGCTTAGAATTTTAAACATGTAACATCATGTGAGGGGAAATAGGAATAGCCATGGCTTGGTACTAAATCTTTTTGTTGTTGTTGTTGTCGGTTGTGGGGCTTGAACTCTGGGCCTGGACACTGTCCCTGGGCTCTTCAACTTCAAGGCTAGCACTCTACCACTTGAGCCACAGTGCCACTTCCAGTTTTCTGGTGGTTAATTGGAGATAAGAGTCTCAGAACTTTCATGCTAGGGCTGGCTTCGAACCGTGATCCTCAGATCTCAGCCTCCTGAGTAGCTAGGATTACAGGCATGAGCCACTGGTGCCCGGTGGTGCACACTGGTGCCACTAAATCTTAAGATCACTATTTTAACATAGTATTTTATACTTCATGAACACAGAATTTGACTGGAGTTACAAAAAGTTTGAATGTGAAGGGTACTGATTATAAAACAAGTTTTCATAATAAAATTATAAAGAAAGCATTCTAAACGGGGCTCTGGTGGTTCACACCTGTAATCCTCGCTACTCAGGAGTCTGAGATCCAAGGATCCCAATTCCAATCCAGTCCTGGCAAGGAAATCTGAGACTCTTATCTCCAATAAAACTACTTAGAAAAAACCAGAAGGAGCACTGCAGTTCAAGTGGTAGAGTTCTAGCCTTGAGCACAAAGAGAGTCAAGGTCAGTGTGCAGGCCTGGAGTTCAAGCCCTAGGACCAGCAGAAAAAAAAAGAACGAAAGAAAAGAAAATGTTTTAATAAGTTTACATAATTCAAATCTTTTAATCTAAATTAACTTATTTATTTTGGACAATACTGTGGTTTGAACTTAGACCTTACATTTCCTAAGCAGGCATTCTATCTCTTGAGCTATACCCCTAGCTCTTTAAGTCTTTATTTTCTAGACACTGTCCTAGTCCACTAGTGATTCATTTCCTTCCATCAAAAGTGAGAAGTAGGCTGTGTGCTGGTATCTTTTGCAGTGTAATCTCAGAAGCAAGTACATCTCTTTTCTGTTCTCTTAGTCACACTGGATTGAACAGGGATATAAATAACAAGATGAGAATCATAAAGGAGCATCTTAGCAGTTAATTACCCTATATGTTTTACTCTTCTATATTCAGATGTTCAATAAATATAACTCATTGTTTTTGAATTGGATCTAAATAGGTTGAAGAAACAGGCCAAGATATTGCCATGTTTTTTAGTTCTCTCAAAGAGCTGTTTTTACTTGTGCTGTTGTAGAGTGCCTAGAGCAGTGAATCTCCAAGTGTGATTCCTGGACCTCTGGGGACAAGGGCACTCATGAAACGTCATTGAGGGACTCTGCTTGTTCTAAACTGTGAGTGCTTGGCAGTGAAGAACACTGTGATTACAAGAACAGTAAATGTCAACAACAATAGTGCACAGCAAAGAAGTGTGCAGTACAGGCTTTTCTAGATAGAAGAAGCCTGGGACAGAAAAGCAGGCAAAGGGGCTGGTAATGTGGCTTAGTGGTAGAGAGCTTGCCTAGCATGCATGAAGCCCTGGATTATATTGCCTATACTATATATACAGGAAAATCTAGAAGTGAGGCTGTGGCTCAAGTGGTACAGTGCTAGTCTTGAGCAAAAAAAGCTCAGGGACAGTGCCTAGGACCTGAGTTCATACCCCAGGACTGACCAAAAAAAAAAAAAGGCAAGCAAAGCCAGGCACCAGTGGCTCACTCCTGCAATCTTAGCTATTCAAGAGGCTGAGATCTGAGGATGGAGGTTTGAAGCCAGCTACAGCAGGAAAGTCTATTGAGACTCTTATCTCCAATTAACCACTGAACAGTCCAAAGGTACAGCTATGGCTCAAATGGTACAGTGATAGCCTTGAGGTAAAAAGCGCAGGGACAGTGCCAGGTCCCAAATTCAAGTCCTGGACTGGCACACACACACATACAAAGCAGGGCAGAGCCAGGTGCCAGTGGCTCACACCTGTAATCCTAGCTACTCAGGAAGCTGAGATCTCAGGATCATGGTTTGAAGCTAGCCTGTGCAGAAAATTTCATGGGACTCTTTCCAATTAAAACTACTCAGGAAGAGCTGGAAGTGGTGCTGTGTCTCAAATGGTAGAGTGCTAGCCTTGAGCACAAAGAGGCTTAGGGACAATGCTTAGGCCCTGAGTTCAAGTCCAGGACTGCCCCCCCCCCCAAAAAAAAAGCTGGTGATGTGAAAAGGTAATTTCTCCTAATTTTTGGTGAATTTGTATTGCTAATCATGTGAGCCTTGATTGACATGGAATATCCTTTTCAGGTTTATTGAGTCCCCAGCATAATACTTGGGAAAGCTTTTTAGTATTTGTTCTTCTAATATGGTCAGGGAGTTCCACATATTGCCAGTCCTATTCCTGCAGGAGCCAACAGGCCTAGACTGGATAACCATTCTTGACTGTTCCTGAGTTACGTAATAAGACTTTATCAAATATGTTCTGGCTTGTAAAAGTGAAATGCAGGACAGCATATTCTCTTTAGCATGGGATAAATGCCTCAGGCCCTTTCCCTGGAGACAAGTGGGTAAACAAAAGAGTATTTAATATCTGCAAGTAAAAAAGTTGCAATGTAACATTTGCTCTAAGAGCCTATAGGGAATACTCCATGTACCATGAAAATGGAAATTATTCAAAGACATTGCATTTGAACTGCTTGTAGTGCAGTAGAAAATTATTTGGAAGCCAGGCACCAGTGGCTCACGCCTATAACCCTAGCTACTCAGGAGGCTGAGATCTGAGGATCATGGTTCAAAGCCAGCCTAGGCAGGAAAGGCTATGAGACTCTTTATTTATTTATTTATTTATTTATTTATTGTCAGTTGTGGGGCCTGAACTCTGGGCCTGGGCGCTGTCCCTCAGCTCTTCAGCTCAAGGCTAGCGCTCACCACTTGAGGCACAGCTCCACTACTGGCTTTTTCTGCGTATGTGGTGCTGAGGAATCGAACCCAGGGCCTC